ATGAGATATATGACATGCTAGGGTCACTTGACGTGTCCTGATACCTGAATCATCTCTTTGAGGTCAGGCATATGAGTTGATCTCGGGCTTCCTCAATCCATAGTTTGTGGTGCGATGGACCCTGTCTCAGCAACACAGTGATAAACAACAGCAAAATTTGGATGACTCAGCTGCATTTGGTCTGGAAACACAATCTGATAAGCCATGCAGCCTTGCAGCCATATGTAAAAATCATATCTGCCTGCTCATGATATGAATATCCTGTCATTGTTATATGGAACACTTCTCAGTTAACTCACTACTACACACATTAAATGTTGAAAATAGACTAGCTACAAATGTACACAAAAGACAAATATAACCTAGTCTACATGGCAACAGAGTGCCAACTATTGTAAACTTAATAACTCAAAAATGAAGGCTTTGAGGACCTATGTTTACGTGGACCTTTGTCTTTGATTGCTGTAAGGAACCTACCCACAAAGTTTGTAAAATTATTGTTGGTACATATATATATATATATATATATATATATATATATATATATGGGTGAGTGGTTAGAATGTTCACTTTCTGATTATGAGACCCAAATTCAAATCTCACCATGGACGATTAGTCAGGAAGGAGACTTCTTGATGTTATCTGAATGGATTGAGGTCGATCCCAGCATGTGGCATCTTTAGAAAGTTCCTAGAAACCATACCACAGGTTGACCCAAAACTTGTGAGTGAAATTGGGTATACAGAACTTTTGAGGGTCCACGATAGCTGTGCTAACACAAAGCCACAACTCATCATGGCCAAGGGCTTGAGCGTGCTCGCCTTGTTCAAATTGTTGAATCACACTAGATAACATGCTTTCTCCCAGAAACTGTAACTAAGGTCTGTTCAGCATAGTTGCAGTATAAACCATAGGTGGGCTCTGTGGGTGTTGAGCAAACACAAATGTGCCTGAGCGAGCGTCTGCAATAGGGATCAGCTAGACGGGTATCCTCGAATACGAGTGGTCAGCTATTATATATATATATATATATATATATATATATATATATATATATAATGTGTGTGTATGTGTGTGTGTGTGTGTGTAAGAGAGAGGAATTGTCTTTATCAGCTTGGGAAATAATAAAAGGCTCTTTTGAAATCCACCCAATTTGACTAAAACATATTACCTCATCTCAAACAAACCTTGATTAGTGAAAGGAAGCAGTTTAATCAATGGCAATGAATTTATTCCAACCCAATAAAAACTGGACTTATACAAACTGACAAACTGCCAAGAAATATTCTTAATCTGGCCTGCACTGGCATTTTATTAATTTTATAGCAACTTTTACATTTATTTTAATTAATTTTTAATTATTTTTATTTTATTATTTTATATTTTTTATTTAATTATTATTATTAATTAATTAATTTATTATTCAATTTATTAATTATTTAATTTATTTAATTATTTATTATTTTATTATATTATTTTATTATTTTATTTATTATTTTTACTTTTATTTTATTTATTTTAATTAATTTTATAGCCACTTTTGCATTTTGCATTTTTTCATTTTGTAGTGACTTCAGCATATTATTCATTTAATAGCCACTTTTTCAGGTAGTTAATTTTATAGCCACCTCTCCATGTGATTCATTTTATAGCCACTTCTGTATTATTTTAATTTTGTAGCCACATATAAATTTTTGCAATTTTAATTAATCACTTTCGTATTTCACATTTTTTTAGCTACATTTTTTCATCTTATAGCCACTTTGAACTTTTTTCCATTTTGTAGTGGCATCTGCATGTGTTTCATTTAATAACCACTTTTCAAATTTTTTAATTTTTTTGCCACTTCTGTGTATTATTAACACCTGTCTGATGTCTTCCAACTTTCTTTCTAAAATCTTCATATCTGTTTGAGGATAATGCTCCCTGGTTGTTCTAAATTCTTAGCACAACCAGGTTGATCTTGAAGATTCTGATTACCTGAGGCAAATTTTGGAACCAACAATGCATGATCCATCCAAAAGCAGACTTAAAACTCTAAGAACTGTTGGTGCTATCGGTTGTTTTGAAAGTCTAACGGCCAAGTCTGAATTCATGGAGCATAATGACATGAAAATCATATTTATTCATCTTTGAATAGCCCAAAAATAAAGAATAAATGTTATGAAAAAGTTCAGACAACATTCAAAAGAAACACTGAGCTTTAAAATAATAGATGGATATTCACAAAAGCAAAAGGAAACAATGCAAAAAGCAAACCATTTATTTTGCTTCAGTCCGATACATATATGTATCTATGTATGCCTATGAAAATTGATTTTTATTTACATGGAGCTGTTTGTAACTATACATTTAATGAAGTAGATATGATTTATTCAAAAATTATAACATAAATATGTTATAAAATCACTACAAAAATAGCCATTTTGTATGAACACCTCTGGTGTCTTATCAAGTGATGATGTTGAATATAGAATAAAAGGTTTTAAATGTTTCAAATCAATCAGGCAGGATTGATTCGAACCTTTTAAAACCTTTTAAAACCCTTTATGGGAAGCTTTGACATGCTAAATCAGATTGGAAACTAGATCCCAACCGTTTTACTGTTGAAATACTTAAATGTAATCACCACTTCTAATTTTCTAACTTTCTTTTCTCGCACTTCTCACCTGTGGAACTCACTTCCCTTTCCTTGCTCCCCTGATAGCTACAGTCTTCAAAAATTTAAATAAACCATCAATCGCCATCATCTATCTTTTTGAACTCCGTTTAGCTTTTATCCTTTCCTCGGTCTTCCTACACTCATTCTTTTCTCTCAGCTTCACTCTCTGTAGCACCCTATGTACCAGTGGCATTCCAGCCTTGCTTGGAGTGAAATGATTAATATATATATATATATATATATATATATATATATATATATATATATATATATATATATATATATATATATATGTTATAACCTAGAAAAGGTTAACGAAAAGAGGAATAACGAAAACGGTGGTTGGAAATGAAATGCTAATCCTTATAACACCAACAAAATACAATACTCGCCAGCGGCATGAAGTATGTAAACCACTGCTTAGACTGCATATAACCTCCGCTTGCAATAGTGTCCAAGGTATTTATGAGGATTGGGACATGCCAATTAGAGTTTATAGGTATGGTATGTAACAATATATATATATATATATATATATATATATATATATATATATATATATATACACAAGTATATGATTGGTGTATACGGAATAAATTCTAATAACCAACAAGATCGTTAATTAATTTGAAACACTTAAAACCGTTTATTTTACATTCAACATCATCACTTGATAAGACACCAGAGGTGTTGAAACAAAATGGCTATTTTTGTAGTGATTTTATAACATATTTATGTTATAATTTTCGAATAAGTAATTATATATATATATATATATATATATATATATGTAGTAGGCATCTGTTTATCCTGTGAGGTTAATTTAGTGATGTGTCTGTTCAAAATTCAGTCCTTTGGTGGTGAAAGTAGAGTGACCTCTCTAGGGTGCAGGCATGATGATTGTATATAGAGGCAGTGCATTTCCCAGACTACATGGCTCTCCTCTCAGCCATTCCGACAAGATCCAAAAGAATACAGGGTATTACATTTGGGGACAGTTTGGCTGCAGGAATTGCTGGAAAGTTGTCACTCTTGACAGCCAACTGCCTTCAGGCTTCCACAATGGGTCTTCTGCCTGGAATTACTTCCATTAGCATTTCTGTATTTGGATATGACTACAAGGCAGTGGAGGCTTACATATATATATATATATATATATATATATATATATATATATATATATATATACCAGGTGTAACAGCATGAGATAATTGCCCATCTCAGAAAATGTTTAATATTTAAAAAACACTAAACTAAATGAATTTTTTTTTCCCAGGTTTTCAGATAAGACCATCTTGATGCAATTTATCACAAGCATCACTGAAAAATCACTTAGAGTTATTGAGCTAGAAAGAGAACATGTTAAAATCATTTCACTATATCTTCCCAACTGAGCAACAGTAAGAGGTAAAAGATCATTCAGGCCTTCAGTAATAGCACCGACATTCATACACTAGCTCCCATCTTCAAAGTCCATTCAAGAGCCATCAAGAGAATGGTAAATAAATTTAAAAAAGAAGGAACAGCAGAGAGGAAAACTAGATTAGGAGCTCACATCAGGAAGAGGGATCATCACTTCAATTTAGAGCTAAATACATTCTTATTGTTCAAAGTAGAGTCTAATAATGTTATAAAAATCTTGGAGAATTCCAGTAAGATATCTTTAATCATTTTTAAGATACAAAAGTTCAAATCATAATAAAACAATTGGACAATTTTGCTGTTACAACCACAATATAGCTATCTATCCATATATACATATGTGTGTATCGGGTGGGGGGGGTATTTAGGTTGCAAGAATTCATTGAAGCATGTTTCATTAAATAACACAGACAAGATCTGTCTATTAAACATTATATATTGTTTTTTCCAATTTCTGACTGAGGTGTTTTATATAATAAATATATATATAAATATATTTATTATATATTTAATAATTTTAATCCCACTACAAAATAACTCAATCAGAAATTTGAAAGACAATATAAAAGGCTGAATAAACTGACATTGTTATTTAATAAAACTTGTTTGGATATATTTATATATGCATATATATTTCCTTATACTACTAATAAACTAACATGTGTTCCAAACCATTTTATATATATTCCCCAAAACACTATTGTAAAACTAGAGCTCAGTGTAAAAAATGATAGACAATACAGAGCATGAAATGTGATAAGAAGAACTCTTCAAGTACATACCCCTATACTTTCACAATGTCCATGTTTTAACAGGCAGGAATTTGGAACAATATCTGAGAATCTTATCCATTGTTCCAAATCCTTCATCATTCTTGATAATTGCTTCCTAGCTGGTTACATAAGTATAGGGGTACATGAAAAATTCTTCATTCTCTCTCTCTCTCTCTGTCTCTCTCTCTCTACTATATATATATATATATATATATATATATATATATATATATATATATATATATATATATATATATTTTGAACAATAAGAAAATTAAAAATTAAAAATTAAAATCATTAGACACACTGGGTTTGTAGATTAATATTCTTTCGTTTTTTTTATTATTATTATTCCATTTAAATTCCTCGACTAGTTTCGACCGAAATGGCCATCATCGGGAGGCGAAATATTTCTGCTTGCTGTTAGCAAGGAACTACAGAAATGAATGTCTTTTGTTGGAGAAAATGAACTTTTGTATATATATATAATATTGATTATATATTACACAGGCTTTTAAATGACTAGAAAATTTTATCTGGATATAAAATAGTTATACTTATATTATACATATCTATCTCCTCTCTCAGTTTGTTTCTATCTCTATTTATTACTGTCACTTTCTTTCTATCTATCTATCTATCTATCTATCTATCTATCTTAGACTGTTTTCTATCACTCTTTCTCAGTCTCTGTCTATCTCACTCAGCTGGTTTCTATCTATCTATCTATCTATCTATCTATCTATCTATCTATCTATCTATCTATCTATCTATTTTGCCCAGTTTGTATCTATCTCTCTTCCTCTCTCTCTGTTTCTGTCACTCTCAGTCTGTTTGTATCTATCAATCTATGTGCTTGTATATAAAATTAAATCCACCCATATACACACACATATATATATATATATATATATATATATATATATATATATATATATATATATATATATATATGTATTGCTTTGGTTTGTTGTGTTTTACGGCATATCAACCTCGATGTGTTATTTAATGCCAACAAAGTTTTTATTTCTGGTAATAAGTTTTTCCTTCAAAAAATGTATTTTCTGGTAATAAGTTTTTCCTTCAAAAAAAAATGTATTCCTGGTAATAGTTTTTTTCTTCAAAGATTTATTGCTGATAATTTTTCTTTTTTTTTACAAAGTATTTGTGGTATTAAAACCTATTTTTACACTTTCATAGCGTTTTTACCAATTTCAGCGTGAACTATTTTCTCATAGCTGGGAAAATAACAGGTGCTACCACCCCAGGTCAGTGTAGACCTGGGAAAACCAGCAATTAAGAGGTGGTTCCATGCTCCTCGAAACCTCATGATCATAGGCCTTGCTGTTGGATGTAGTTTATTGTCATACCCAGGACTATATATATATATATATATATATATATATATATATATATATATATATATTGGTGTCATAAAAGTTCGTGTGCACCTAAAAATTTATACATTTAAAATGCACCTGAACTTTATGGGACTGTATATATATATATATATATATATATATATATATATATATATATATATATACACACACACACACACACACACACACACACACACATGCGTAATTGTGTGTGTCTGTATTTGTATAGAATAACCATTTGAAAGAAATATATATCTACAAATTTAATTCTCTTACCTCTGCCAATATGCTGTTCAGTTTCTACAAAGGTTTCTGCTCTCAAATACAGAGGTCTGAAACTTCTGCTGCTAGAAGTCATTTGCTCGTTTTTCATTAAAGGAAAATAAATGTGTAGACACTAAACAACACAGTGGAAATTCTGAATGATTCTTTTGTAGATGAAGGAATTGAAGATGCATGAAATTGTATAAAGTTGAATGGAATGATTTAGAGAAAAAAATGTTATTTCAAAGAAATTTAAATGCTTTAGAATCATTTTGAATTTAATCACACATACCTTCAGTGGATCAAAGATAAGCACAGATCATTCTCTTGTTGCCCCTAGAAAAGTCAAATACAACAGTATTTTTGTGCTTCTTTCTATCTAGGTGTCTGTATGTATAAATAATTCCTATGGAATTAATGGATTATATTTATGATCCAAGATTATTCCATATTACTTCCAGCAGGACTGTATTCCCACCATTTGGCCTGGTGTACTAGATGGCGAGCATATTTTTTTTAAGACTATCTAATATATAGGCCAGTAGACATAAAAACCAAAAAACATGAACCTTACATTCTTGCTTGTCATGTACAAGTGACTGCCCAACTCATCTCTGAAGTGGTTGTTTTTATCTATCTCTTCCTTGCTTGTAAAACTGGATGCAAGGTTGAAGTCACATGTTTTTGTATTCAGATGCTGGGAGTCCACTTCAGGTCAACCTGGTGGCTTCTTTAATGGCCTGTCATGAAATTAAGTCCAGTATCTATTCTAACACACACACACACATATATATATATAAATAATAATAAATTAAGAAGAAAACCTTAAAGATTCATTTTGGTTATAATTTATTTTACCAATATTTCTATATATTCATCTCTTCAGATGTTTAATAAATGGCCATTTATTAAGAACTTTTTTTTAAGAACTGAAGAAATGAATATATAGAAATATTCACAAAATAAATTATAACCAAAATGGATCTTTAAGGTATTCTTCTTTATTTATTATTATAATGGTCTGTTCTTTATATTGAGCTCTCTCTGAATTAATATCCTCTCCTACCAGTTACAAATTGGTAATAAAAAAAATGTACACATCAAGTGCTCCAGACCAGCTGCAATCTTCAGCTGAGCACCATGCTTCAGCAGAGTTTCCATTAAGCTCGTTATCTCTCCACATGGTGGGCCTGCAACAGCTGGAGGATGTTATGTTGCAACCGTTCTATGTTAGTTGGATGCGACTTGCTAAGAATTTCTGGGTAATCCATACACTGCCTTCCACCACTTTTCCACCACAAGTCTCCAATGTTTCTAGTATTCTTAAATTTTTCGACTTGGTTGGGGTAAGTGAGCGTAAAAATTTTCCCCCATGTCCATTGTCTTATGTTTTCACTTTCATCCAATTCTTTAGGTGTGTTCACAGGGTTTGTTGTTAACTGTTATAAAAATCTTTTCATGATTGTCTTTCAAGATGTAATTGTGTGATGCATATTGTCTGTTGCTATATAAATAATATATATATATATATATATATATATATATATATAATTATTTATTTAAAAATATGATTCCAACGCTACATAAGAGTTCTCATGTTTCAAAACAAGAGCCGAAAACTTCAATATAATTATTTGAATTAAATTGAATTAAAGTACCAAGCTCTGTTCCATCTTCAAGTGAAATATTTTTTGGAATAACTAATTCTTGAAATTTACGCATTTTATAAGCATATTCATTATTAAAATTAGAATTACTATGGTAATGGCTAGAGCATTTTAATTACGGCTGGCCAATGTAAGTAGCTGTGGGCCCTAATCCAAAACATGGACCTTACATTCTTGTCTGTGATGTCTGAGTGACTATCCTCATTAACTCTGGAGTGGATATATCATCTCTCTGTGATGTATATCTCTGTTATATTATTTAATTTCACATCTTGTTGATAAAGGACACATGGCTTCCAATTTTTTAGAGAAGAGATTACCTAAAATATAAAATCCACCAATCCTAAGTTTACCATTATCCAGCAAAGTAGATTAGAAAAAAAGGGGCTAACATTTTAAGATTTTATGCAGGAATGGGTTAATTTAGTTCGTCTTATTATTATTATTAAATATATGATAAAACTCTTAAAGGAGAGAAAGTCCCTCTGATATGAAGTTTTGCGTTTATAATATACTATTACAGTAAAGTAATTTTTGGGTCACTCTGTACATACATACATACATATATATATATATATATATATATATATATATGTGTGTGTGTGTGTGTATATATATATATAATTTATGTAAATGTATATTTGGGAAGCAATTTTTCTCTTAAATATCTTTCATTAAATACAGCAGACAAGGATGATTTAATTAATTTATTTACTTTTTCCAGCTTCTTTCGGTTTTATTCAGTTTTGTAGGAGTAAGAGAGTACAGAAATTTTCCATAACACTAACAGCACCAAGAAAAAAAAACCATGAAAATGTCTAAAGAAGTGGCCAAAAGCACTTGGAACAATGAAAATTATGGAAAATTTCTGTATTCCCTTACTTCTACAAAATGGAAAAACATAAAAAAAAAATTAATTAAATCTTCCTTGTCTGCCATATATATATATATATATATATATATATATATTCCGGTGTATCTTTAATGTATTAGACATCCAAGAATATTCATATTTCTCTCACTTAAACAGTCTTTGACTCCCCTCTTTAAAACTTCTCTCTGTTAAATTTTAATCCCCCCCGCCGCTTCACCTTTAGACCTTCCTGTTCTTCTCTCGTCTGTTACCCCTCCCTATAGCTTTCATTTCCTCTAACATTCGTCCCACACTCTCATACATACACTCTCACTAAATCTTATTTTTTTTTCCCGGAGTAGTTTTTTCTGTTTTCTTTTTGAATTTGTATGTCTGATGAATTGGATCATATTTACGATTCCAATGGAATTAATTATGACCATGGAATATTAGTGTTTAAGCCTTTTTATTATATCCTTACTCTGTCCTGGACTTTGAGTTCTACCTGGATTCTATCCTCTTGGAATTTGTTTTTATACAAAAAAATATATATGTATGTGTATGTATGTATGTATGTATGTATGTATGTATATATATTTATATTTTTTTGATATATGTGTATATTCACCACTTATATTATCTCTCTCTCTCTCTCTCTCTCTATATATATATATATATATATATATATATATATATATATATATATATAAGAGAGAGAGAGAAAGAAATTTGAGAGATATGATAAAATAGTTTTTAAAGTATGCAATATATATGAGCAAAAGTGCGAAATGGAGAGAAAAAGATACAGAGACAGCATATATAAATATGAAAGTGGATACTGAGGTTAACACTAAGTCCTAGCATTCTGTTTTTCTGTTTGAACACAATTTCAGGACTGAAGATTGCATTCAAGTATGAAACTGACTGTCACTGCTTGGTATTGACTTCAATGCCCACTTTCATATATATATATATATATATATATATATATATATATATATATATATACAAAACATTATTCTGATGTGAATTCTTAATTTCACCAATTAAAAATCTGTGTGAGCATTACATGTCTAGCATCATTACCTGTATTTATATGTACACAAAATTTATTAAATTTTATATTAAACTACTTTCAGAGCATATGTTATTTATATAAAACTACCTTTATTGGTATATGTATAAGCAGTGTTATGAAATGTAAAGGTGTATCAGGTGTAAGGTGTTTATGCTTGGGTTTCATTCCCAAGTTGACCCAGTTTATAGATGCTAGATACAAATTAAATAGCCTGTATTCCAAAAACTGAAAAAAAAAAAAATCTGAAAACTGAAGCACTTCCAGTCCCAAGAATTTTGGATAAAGGATTCCCAACCTGCATCTAATTCTGAGAGAACTCAATCAAGCTTTAACGTACTACTTGGTTGAATCATAAGTTATTTCCATCTCTGCAAACTGTATTGATGAATAACATCAAAACAAATAATTATATATGATAATTAAGAATAAATATGGGGTGTACACAGGGGATTAGAGGAGAAATGTTTTTGTTTGACATGATTATGCAAAGGCTCCATATAGCAAGAATAAAACAGGTAAACATTTTCTAAATTGATTCATATGTTCTACTCCACCCACCATATTCACCTGATCTCAACAGTTATCACCTTTTTTGATTGCTGCAAAATGTTTTGATGGGGGGAAAACTTTCTCTAATGAGAACCAGATTCAAGAGTTCCTCAAAAGCTTTACCTATCAAAATCTGCAGAATTTTTCTATCGAAAGGCTACCTGATAAGTTTCAACAAGTCATTGCGAATAATGGTGAATATATAATTGAATAAAATGTAATTGCAGTTTATTTTTTGAAGAATAAAGTTGATAAACAAAAACGGAAATTATTTATGAGTCAAACTAATGGCTTATAAAATGAAAATGCGAGACATTTTCCTTTGGCAAGTGCTTAAAATATATTTTTGGAAATGACTATAAATGTCTGACAAGTAAAAATAAATCAGATTTTTAATCTCTGGCTTCACAAAAAATAGTTTTCATGAGTTCTTGTCAATTTTCCTGCAGCTGAATCGCTTATTTTATTTGCAATTCTATAAATATTTACACTTCCTATGACCTTATTATGGATTTTAGTAGAAAAATGGTAAAAGCCTCAACAGAATATAACTTAGTTCCTTTTGGATTAGAATTTCATGTTATTGCAACTTTCAGTACTTTTGATTTACTTAAAAAGCCACTAAATAACAGGGCAGACTGGTTCCTCTAGCCATGGTTGGCAACCAGTCTAGGGAAAGAAAAACTGGATTCAAACCTGAGAAGAGCTGTTTGGAAATTTTGTGAAACACTCTCCACCATTTTTATGCTACCAGTTCTTTCAAAAAGTGTGGCTGGTTCTACACAAGCCTTTATTATTAAATGGTGTAATAGTTAGCAAGCTTGTCTTGTGAGATCACTTATGACTAAATAGTGAGATGAATCCTCATTAGGTGCTCCATACTTCTGGCATTGTGCCACATCTAACCTATACTTAGAAAATCACCATATGTGTGGATAAATTGGCAATTCAGTTCTAAAATTTATACATTAAAATCATACAGGGGTTTTCAATAGGGCAAAGTTTCATGGTTTCGGTGGGAGGGAATCTTTTCCTTCTGTTTTTTATTTACTGGATTTTGTTTATTAAATTACAGCAGAGGTTCTCAACCAGGGGAAGGATCTTAGGGTTTCAGTGAGGGGAGAGGTCTTTTACTATTTCTTTCTTTTTATTTATAGAATTTTGGGTCTGTCTATATTTCTGAGATGAGGTATTATGTACAGTATTTACATTAGTCGGACTTTGTCGCCATATTTGTCCTCAAGGTCACATGGCACAGTGGATAAAGGCGTTGGTTAGATCCAGTGACAGACCCTATTCTTAGCTGGTGCATTTCATCCTCTGAGAGAATTTATCAAGGCAGTGTTCCTGGCCTAAATATTCAAGAATTCTTATTAGAAAAATATGCACTCTCCAACAGGATTCAAACCTGCATTCCCCTAGGAAAAAACATCATTAGATCTGACATGCTTTGATCTCTCAGCTATGGAGCATGTTGATGGCCAAGCAAAGTCTGAATAGTGCCTAAAAATCAATTCCTTAAGAATTTGCTTAGTTTATGTTAAGATACAAAACTGTGAAGATATGTTCATTTTGAGAGTTGGAGAAAAATCTGTGTTTAAAGGCAATATTCACTAGTCAAAATATAAATAACATAAATAAAAAAGAAATATTTCTCAATTTCTGATTTCAAAATATGTTTCAGTTCTTTAAATTCTTTTTCAATTCTTTTAAACTTTCTTTTGTAAAACTCAATTGAAATAATTTGCTTGGTTATTGGGGTAATAAAAGAAATATCTCCACCAACTCCCCTTTCTATCCATTACAATAAATATCATTTTGTTCTACATAAGCATCTACTTGATGTTGTCATTATATTACAATTTATTAAACTAAGTCACTTTCACGATAATAGAATGTATACTCTGCCTAGACAAACTAAGTATGGATTCGAATTCTCTGGATGCTGAAAAAGACCTTTAAAAACTTCTTGGAGGAACGTTGCAACAGAACATTCAACAAGTTACATTACTTAACAATGTATGTCTCGGCTAGCATGAGTATTTCTCAGATGCAGTCACATATGAAGAAACCCAAGAAATCCTGAACAACTAGTCTCTCGCAATGAGACACTAACTTCCCTCAGAAAAGGGGGATCACTCTACTACCAACTTTTCTAATTCTGAAGGTGAACAGTCTCGGCATCAAAGAAGGCAAGAGCATGTCAGTTTGAAGCATCCACACTCAGAACTATTCTGTAACCTTATCAGATCCTGAGGAAGAAATACAATAAGAAGAAATAAAATAAATACTGATAAGGTTGAGCCACCCAAAAAATCCCAAAGGATCCACAAGATGCCTGGTCATTTGAAAGATTCTCTTCCAAAGAAATGAAATAAATACTGGGGGAGAATGTAGTAATAAAATAAACATATCACTATCTCCCCACTCACTTATAACTGCCCATTACAATAAATATAACCTTTCTCAGTGCTTAAGCTTAGTCTAATAAAGCTTTATATAGTTATTACCTAATATAAGATCACAATTAAGTTACAAATTATAATTAACTAAGTTTCTTTGTTTTTTTTTAAAAATTAAGCTTAATTTTATGATACAAGCAAACTGAAATTGTCTGTTAGCACAAATATAAATTCACTATATCTATACTGTTAAAATATAAAAGTTTAATTCTCTTATAGTCAGACCTGTTTCATATTAGATTGAGTCAAACTGTAATGTTAAATTCTCTGTGACTTCAGACTGATTCTTATTTCTGGAATATTCTTGTGTTTCTGATAATCAAAATCAGTTCTTGCATTCATTTTGTTTTCTTTTTTCACCAATTTAGAAACTTCTCCCTCAATGAAAATCACAGAACCAATATGATTGGTCAGTTGAACAGCTCCTGACAACAGACATAAAAACATCACAAATAGAGCGACTCACTGCTGTCTGCTGTTCTAAATTGTTTGATATTGTTTTTGTCTATCAAGAAAGAATTCTAAGTGTTGTTTCAGATTTACTGACAGTGTAAAGTCTATACACTAACTTTTTCATTCAAATTGACCTTTATGATATAAAGTATAGTCTAATTATTTCATATTTAATCTGAAACAAAAATATTCAAAATATATGGGTGGACAGAATGGTCCACCCATCCATTGGACAAGCTGGGTTGCTAGACAACAATCTCAAAATGTCCTTCTTCTATGTGGCATGTCCCTCCAAGATGTTAGTGATCATGGCTCTCCACAATTTCCTGTCTATTGTAGCTCTTAATAATGTTTGTCTTTTTGCTATCTCTTCTAATCCCTGCTGCCAACCATCTTGCACAAGCTCGTTAGGTAGGTGTTATGGTCCGGTTCCTTGTACCACGGTGATGGTCCAAGGTAGAACCAATAAAGAAGAACTCGAACGCAGATATGGAATAACACAGATATATTACAAACAGGAATATATACAGAGAATTAGAAAGTGTTAGTACGAACAATCAGGTTTAATAAGGAGAACAATGTAGTCTCGACCAGTATCACTATTCCAATGTCTTGCAGTAATTGTTTGAATGCGACTCTGTTTCGGACTGCCTCTGACTCGACTGACTGACTTGCTCGCTCTGACTGACTGATGGACCTCACTTCAGACTGAACAGTATTTAGTTACCCCCACAAGGCCAGTTTAACATGGGATCTCCGAGCACGTGGGCTTGGCAAAAAATATGCCCTTTGAACTTGTATAAATGGGTTCAGGGTCAGTTTACCTCCCCAAAAGAGACTCCGCCCTTCGGCGTAGCCTCGTTCGGGTTCCTCCCCACCTGAAGGCAGAGAGTTCAACCGATCAGCCGGTCATCTTACTTCAGACTGAACTCTCTGCTTCTTCTTGAGGTGCAGTATTTGTTACATATGGAATAGTCCATTATGTTATTATGGGTAATGTCCCGTAACTGTAGGTTATGTGCTGTTTTCCTCCGTTCCTTGCCCTAATTATGTCCTGTGAGTGTTAAATTTTCAAAGCCCTTTTCCCTCATTGCATACCCTAGAAATTACAACTAGACTTACAACTTAACTCATGTTAAGTATAAGTGTCTTTTTAGTTTCCATTTTTTCTAAAACTTTGTCATTGTTCACATCATGAAAATAAAATCAGTTACATGAAATGAGTTTTTCACAGTCTCTACACAAAAATGTGCCAGACCCCCGTGCACCTTTGGCTAACTAATTTACCATGTTCGCTTTCCTCGTTAGACTGCATTGAACATCAGTTATCAACTGAACTGACATTCCCTAATCTGTTTGAACTCTGATTGCTAACATCCTGCGATTTTGCTGCCTGGATGAACATTATGTTAAATGCACCCATGCAAGTACAAGTCAGTCATCGTGTCATTAGAACTGACTGCATTGAGTGTTGTTATGGTAAATGTTGCTTTGTAGTTTAAAAATTTAGGTTGATCAGAACATTCTGAAACAAAAAATTATTTCACTAATTTTTCTTTTTTTTTTTATGTCTACTTTGTTTTTTATTTGATAAGTATACACAATTTTGGGGTTTTTTTTCAGCTTACGTTCTTGTGATTTTCTTTCGGTACCTATTTTGGTGAGCAGTACTTCAGTCAGAAGACTAGGCAGAATTGGTTTACTTTATTGCCGTTCCTGTATTTAAAACTAATTTTTTAAGTGCATTTTTCAATCCACTGTTATTTCTTATTCCTATTTAGCAGGCACTTTTGTTTGTGTTGAAACAAAGAGCAACTCTAACATGTAAACCCAATAAAAATGACATTTATAGACATAAGAAAAAAATTCAACTGCTATCATAATTCATGTCTTTTATTAAAATCTATATATAAAATTGTGACTTCCATTAGTCTGTCCATCCATATATTGACTGATCAAAACCAAATTTTGGGAAGAAGTGCAAACAGGTAAGGGGCATAGCTGAGAACAATAAATTTTCCTTAAAGTTTTCAAAAATTTAATAAAAATAAAAAAAAATAAAGATTGGTTTGTGAAATTAAATGAAATGTAGAATTTGTAAATTTCAACAAAAAATGTTAGTGATAACTTCAACAATACTAAATACTACTACTAATAATAATAAGTGGTTGATCTTCTTGTTTTAACATTTAAATTTTGATTTCTTGAATTGTGTATTGAGCACTTTTTAATGCAACCATTTACTTGTCTAATCTAACCCTGACCAACAACTGTTTATCCTATATATATATATATATATACACACACACACATATATATATATATATATATATATATATATATATATATATATATATATACAACAAAAAATAAAAATTACCTCACCATAGAAAATAGTCTATTTTAAGGTATTTGTATGCACCAATACACACACACAAAGGATGCTGAAAAGTTCTTAGACCAACCACTTCCCAATATATTTTAATTTTTGTTTATTAGTTATTATCAGAGTCCATATAACCACTCCTAGGGGCTGATGATAGCCACATACAGACAGCTTGAAACAGACTACTTTCTATGTTGAGGTAATTTCTGTTTTTTTGCTGTAAAAAATACATATGCTCTGTTATAATAAATACATCAAGCTCTCTGTGGATCAGTTTTAATAACTAATATTACTAGGATCCACCTGGATTATATACCAACTGATTGATTACCCGTACTATATATTTATACACACACACACACACACACACATACATACATATATACATACATATATACATACATATATATATATATATATATATATATATATATATTTTAATTTAAATAAAAACAGACCACTTTAAGGTTCCATGTAATAAATTATTTCACCACAGCCCTTTCAAAAGGACGGCGAATCATCAGAGTTTACTTCAAAACAAAAAATGAAAAGAAAATTTACACATTTTTGACGGGCCATATTAAACATATGTAAATTAATGGAACTCACTTATGTCTTCTCTCTCTCTCCACTCACTTCCTCACTTTGTTGATTTACATATGTGTAATATGGCCCATCAAAAATGTGTAAATTTTCTTTTCCTTTTTTCTTTGGAAGTAAAGTCTGATGATCCACAGTCCTTTTTAAAGTGGTCTGTTTTTATTTAGATTATTTGCTCTGGATTTACATTGAGCTCTCTGGATTTTATCCTCCTTAGGTTTACCCATACGGATTACCTATTTTTTTATAAACTAACTAACTATATATATATATATATATATATATATATATATATATATATATTTATGAATAAAAATGACAATAGGAAAACTGGTAATTATCAAAGCAAAATACGAAATATTTTGCTTTGATAAAGTCCACATTGGACGAAAACGTGTCAGCAATTACCAGTTTTCCTATTGTCATTTTTTATTCATAAATATTGTCTTCTCTACCGATTAAATCGGAGAAATTTTCATATATATATATATATATATATATATATATATAACATCCATTTTGTTGCATTTTTTGTTTATGTTCAGTCATTATTATTACAATTATTTCAAGGAATGTCTTATGCTGCAATTTACTGATCAAGAATTAAGCATAACAAATAGCTATGTGATATCATTTCTTCACCAATTTTTATCTACAAAAATTCCAAGAATTTTAACTGTACTGAGCATAAACCTGATTCTATATTAAAAAAATCATATCTATAAAAGTTGCATGATTTTGAAAGTACAAATAGTTTAAAGTAACATGACATCCATTACTAAGCAAGTATTAGGTTGGTGCAAAAATAATGACGTAATAATGTCGTTTTTTGACGTATTTTTTAACGTCAAAAACGACATTATTACGTCATTATTTTTGCACCAACCGTATACAAATCCTTCAATATTAAACTAAAGTTGTAAAAAAAAATGGACATTATTTATTTTATGATCATTTCATCTACTTTCCTCAGGTTTCTCTTATGTCATAATTTAATGATCAGGTGCAGGTCATAACAAATAACAATGGTCGATACTATTTACATTGTTCGAACTGTTGTCCTCATCTTTGTTGCCATATTCACAAAGTTTCAACCATTGTTTGCTCTGGCCTTCTTTAGGTAATTGGAATTTCGAACAAGAACCCCTTATTTCATTCATCAGGGTAGATTGTTCTTGTTCCACGTGCCATGCCTCTTCCAGATGTCTCAGTATCAGTTATCTCCCTTTTAACTCAACTCTCCAAGTTTTTGTTCACCTAAGCTGTAGCCAGGTACTGAACTCATAACTCTTTGGGTCAAGTCACTGAATTTAACCAACACTTTTATCCAATGGACCATGTGTCTATGAGCTCACAATCCAAATAATTACAATGCCTCATCTCAGAAATGTATAGAGATATTGAAATGACAATGATCATGCCTTTTCTTCACCTCTCTACACTTACAAAAGCTTTCTCAGATTTTTGGCTGTCCCAAATAATGCTGCTTTCTGAACTTCAAATCATGGGCCCAATTCTACCCAGCTAGTCCCAAGGGTGCCTATAACAACAGGAACAACATCTATGTTTTGTTTGTGTGTGTGTGTGTGTGTGTGTGTGTGTGCATCACTGTTTTGTATGCCAGCTGCTCAGCAGTGGACAACAGATATTGACCAAAAAATAATTGGCTGCTTGCTGCCCTCTTTGGAGGACATTTGTAATTCTCATTGTCGTAACAGAGAACAGCACAAATCCCAGGTACTTGCTTGAACTGTTACCCTAAGGAAAACATTTTAGGTCTATTAATTCTAAGATAAAGTGCTTGAGGGACAGCTTTTATCCTTGGGCCCTGTGTAAAATGAACACTGCTGTATGCTGACAATTTTCAACTTATTTTAAATATTATTACTGTGCGTATTATTCTGTGCATGTGTTGTAGCACCTGTGTATTACACAGTAACAAGAACAATAAATAAATAAAATAAAAATAAATAATGATAAAGATGTTTGTCTGAATAATAAAGTATACAATGTTAATTACTAACCGCAAAAGTTTCAACATAAATTGTTAAATTATAAATTATTTTATATTTTAATAAATAAGAACTCTACAATGTCCTCAGATATGGGCAGTGAACGAGAACAATGAATTTGGTGACATAGTAGTTGTGATTTCAATCCCTGGGTCAAGCAGTGTGTACTTGCACTCAGCAAAAATGGGCAACCAATAACTGAGCAGTATTAAAAATAAGAAGTAGATAATATCCCTAAACATGGACAGTGGAATGATACAATATAGGAGCCACTGATAAAGAAAGAAAAATGACAGAAAGTCTTCAACAGCAGCAGCAGGTGCAACATCAATCAGCAAGCAGGTTAGGTTTACAGCTCCAAGTTCATTAATCCACTAGGCCACTTTGTCGCAGTGTTGGTTTGTGAGTTTCAATCACTAGGTTGGGCAGTGTGTACTTGGGTAAGCAATAACTAAACAGTACTAAAAATAAGAACTAGACAATATCCCTTCACATAAACAGTGGAACATGAACAGTCTACCCCTGTAGATTAAATAAAGTGTTCATTTCAGGTTACCCAGGTTGATTTACACGTAGTGAAAGCAAGAAACTACAATGGCTGAAACATTGGGATCAGAATAAAGAGACAGCAATATTCCTAATATCACTATAAATAACAGTTCTTTAAATTCATTTTCATTTCCTTTCTGTTGAATTAAGTGGGCAAGCAATAAGAGAGCAGTACTAAAAATAAGAACTAGATGAGCTATTCCTAGATATGGGCAGTGGAATTAGAACAGTCTACTTCTATAGTTTAAATAAAGGGTTTAGTTCAGAATTACCTGTAATTTATCCAGATCAATATACCTCTGAAGAAGACCAGAGGACACAACAGCCGAAACGTTGTAAATAGTGTAAATAATGAGAAACAGGTTCATCTGAATATTAAAGTATACAATGATGATTAAAAGATCCTGACCTGAAAACTTCCAACATAAATTATTTAATTTTATTATTCTATTTATTATTCTATTTATATCATTCATTATTAGAGTGGTTTTTATTCTGTTCATTACTTAATTTATTATTAGATTTGCTCATTCTTTATGCATAGAATCTAATTTCCTGAAGATGACATTCATTGAACAATGAAAGTATCACAGAGAAAAGATCTATTTACATCACGATCTCAAGGCAAATATCTTAAAAGCGATATGCCAGATTTTCTCTATTTTATTTTCTCAAACATTTTTTGTAATGAAGATATCAAAGGTTTGACAAGTAATCAATAAAAATCATATCAATTTCATGCATGACAGACATTTTTTTTTTTTTAAAGAAAAAAAATGATGTAGCTGCCAAAAAGAAAAAAAGAAAAAAAAAAAAGAAAATCTGCTCAATGATTCGATGGAACTGACTTGGTCATTGTAAGTAGAAAGCTCATTAAGAGGTGTACATGTAGACATCGCCAGACTGACTGGTTCCATCCATTTGTTCATACCAATAAAAGAAATTGTGCGAATGGCATGTATTTTTTTTTTTATTTGCCTCAAATTAGAACACACACATTATCAGTAGTGGCCCTTGAGCTATAAAAGGTCATTTCACAAATAAATTATACCTGCTTTGTACAATTTTTCTAATTGTTTCCAATTATTTTATCAAAAAAGTCACAACGTAACCAACGATTACTTGTGCTTAATAACAGAATGTATAAACTTCCCTAATCTAAAACCAACTTTAAAGAAATAGACACTGGGAAACAACACATTACAGCTAAGAGTTGCCATGTTGTGTCCACGGAGTCAAATCACTTTCATTCCCTCTGTATTCTGAATGCATTTGGAAAAGCATCCACAGAACAAGCATCTCATTGGAACTTCCTTCTTACATTTAGAAGACATTTCCCCAAGAGCTGTTGGTTCCATGAATGCTTCTCCAAATGTTGCGCTTTTAATCTCTTCAAGCCAAGCTGCCATCATTTATATCACACATCTCATTCAGTCTCGCTCTACCTTCCCTGACTCTTGAGCTCTGTATTTGGTGAAAATTAGTAAAACAAAACAAAAAAATCCTTGTAATTAATTCACCTTAATAATTACAAAATTAATTATTTTACAAATTTGATATTCACTGATTCATACATTTAAAAATGCTGTAGATCATTTGTAGCAAAATCGTTACAATTTTCGCTTTCCAACCATGAGACCCAGTGTGAATCTTTTCAGGGTCAGTATATCAGGGAGGTAACTTCTTGATATTATTAGCCTGGGGAGGCAATCCCAGCATGCTGCACTATTGGAAAAGGTCTGAAAACCATATCACAGTTTTGACTTGAGCCTTGGAAGTGAAACTGGGTAGAGGGAACTGTTCAAAAGCCATCGATGTGACTAAGAGTTTGAGTGTAGTGGTCACACCAGATTATGCACTCTCTCACCCAGATATTTGCAGTATAAACCACAGGTTTTTTTTCTGTGGGTGTTAAAAAAAACTCATCTGCAACAGGAATAGGCTAGTTGCCCTAGCAGACAAGTGAGCTTGGAAATGAATAGCCAACAATTATTTTTTCCTTAATCATTTCAACCCAAGCAAAGTTGATAAAATGTGAGGGATTATTGAGTGTTAAAGAAACAGAGAGGACCATAATGAACAAGATTAGCAGAGACAGATGATGATGATGATTGTTACACTTTTGAAGAATGTGGTTGAAAGCAAATCAAGAAGCCAAAAGAGAGTTTTACAAGTGAGAAGTGTAGGAGAAGAAACTATTATCATAGAACTTACGGTTACAACAAGCAATTTCAAAGTGAAACCATGAGACCTAACTTCCAATCTAGCACTACTTAAATTCATGAAGTCCAGGTACAAAATAGGAAAGCTCATCAGAACAACTGTCTTGAAAATATTTCGAGAAAAAGCATGAGGAAGCTACATTATTGCAGTTGGAAAGTGAGTTAAGTCGAGATGCCACATCAGTACTGGTAACAAAGAAATATAGAAAAGCTTTGATACTAAAAATACTAAAGATCGCACTCACTTTACAAAAGTGTGACTATATTTTTTGTTTTGATCTTCTTATCTCTCTCATCTTTACTATACAGATCAATTGATTCAATAAAAAGTTTCCTTGGCTCTACCAATTAAGTGAATAATACAAATTACGATTGTCTATCCTTTTTGAAAGAACTCTGTCTTCTCTTCTTCCTCTTTTCTCCTTTCTTTCTTATTCTTGCAGTTCATTAATAAATTCTTTGGAATCAATCATATGAAAACTGGTTTGGTTTCTTTGTAATGAATTTCTCTTGTAAGGAATTTTTGGCATTTTTTTATATACCACTAATACTTATTGGCATTCTTTATTAAAGAATTCCCCAATGTTTAATTTCTTAAATTATATTTTGAAATTATATTTGCAAAATTAAAACTTTGACTGATTTTTACTTCTCAAACTAAAAATATATAAAGGCAAAATTGACAATAATTTTTAGATTCTAGCAACAGGCTAAATTATTTTCTATAACTTTGTGATGAGTTATTATCCAACATTGTTTGGACTTCAAATCTCTTTGTTTATTGACTTTACACAACAGCAAAACTTTTTCTGATTTAAGATCAACTGTGGCACAAATCCAAATGATTTGTCAACATTATATAATCAGTAATAGATTTAATAGAAAATCTAACTTTTGCAACCTTCTTACTAGGGTTGATCCCTTATGGGAAAATAGTCTGACTAAAAACTGTATTTACAACATACCATGAATGTGTGGAAAGGTATATAAAGGAAAAATTATCGATCCTTTTAAAGTTAGATTCAAACTTATATTTATAGACACTTTATCCTTAATATTGAGCACTCTTACCCTTAAATATAGTATAACTTAAAACTATATTTTTATCATATTGCATATATATATATATATATATATATATATATATATATATTGTTATAACTGGAAACTAAGGAAATGGAATCACCATTTCAACTATTGTTAAGACATGGAAATACTGCGTTGGACATATTGTATATGTATGAATAAAAAACAGGAGTATCACTTTTGCAGACAGAATTCACCAGACTAAATTGCATTGGTATTGTTATTACAAACCCCCCTTACCAAGTTGTGACATTTTCACAATGAGGAGAGATTTTTACATGCAAATATGTCAAAACTCGGATGTCTAGAAGAATTCTGCATTGAATTGGGAAATATTTTGTCATACCTGGGCCGTTTGGAACAGTTTTTCTTAGCAAATGAAATAGTTCAGGGCCGGCAAACAGAGATAAAATGTAGAGCTATCTTACTCAGTGCCATAAGTGAAAAGATGTACAGAGTATTGGAGGATTTATGTTTACCACTGGGAGCGATTCAGGAAACTTCCTAATGCAGTGTTTTCTAAAAAGAGTTTAATATAAAAATTGTGTACTTATTCTGGGCATATCATGGAATGACTTGAAGCAAGAATTTTCTGAGCTTTTTAAATCAAACTTAGGCACTTTGAAAGATGCAACAACAAAGCAACATATCAAAACCTAACAGTACGCCTTGTCTCATGAAAGTTCGACAAGTACCGTTAATACACCGAGAAAAGGTTGAGGTTGAACTGGATTGCATGGTTACTACTGCTGTTACTTTTTCTAAATGGGCCTCTTCTATTGTTCCAGGCTAAAAGAAAAATGGTCAAGTTAGGAGTTGTGGCAATTTTAAACAGACAGTAAACCCTTCCTTACAGATAGACAAGTACCCTATTTCAAATATAGACAACTTATATTCAAAGTCTCAGATGGACATTGTTTTACGAGATTGGATTTGGATGATGCATATTTACAGATTCTTTTGGAGGAAGAGTCGCAACAACTAACTACTATAAACACTCATAAGGTTCTTTTCAAGTACAGCAGATTGTGTTTTAGAATTGCCTCTGCACCAGGAATTTTTCAATACACTATAGACCAATTAAATCAAGGTATATCAATGACATTTTAATCTTGGGCAAAAATATGGAAGAACAACCAAAATCTGCATTTAAAATTGAAAAGACTATGAGATATGTGCCTCCACCTTAGAAGTGAGAAATCTGAGTGAGGGAAGTCATCAATAGTTTATCTGTCAGAGGATTAATTCCAAAGGAATTCATCCAACTCAGGATAAGGTTAATGCTATTGAAAGAACACCAACTTAGGACTGCACAGTTATTTAGCTTTTATTAATTATTACCACTGATATTTAAATAATATCAGCACTTTTCTAGCTCTACTGTATGTGTTATTACAAAAAGGAGCTTCCTGGAAATGGGAACTAACCAAAATTTTGCATTTGAACAAAAGTTTATTAATATATTAATATGTTTTAGTTCATTACAATCTGAAATTTAAACTTATAATGACTAAGGATGCATCCCCAGTTGGCATCAGAGCAGTTTTATTACATATTATGCTGGATGGAAGAGAAAAAGCAATTTACTTTGCCACAAGAACATTATCAAAATCAGAACAGAATTATGCACAGATAGAACATGAATGACTAGCAGTAATTTTTGGAGTGAGCAAATTCCATAAATACATTTATGGCTGGAAGGTTACAAACATTATTCATCATAAACCCTTGCTTGGGCTTTGAAAAGGGACTTAGTGATATCACACACAATGCTATTGTACAGCGTTGGGCATTGGTACTCTCAAACTACCACTATTAGCTTGTATACAAAACCCA